TAAAGTGGTCTCAAGTTGCATTATTTTTGGCAGTCTGTAAAGGCCCTATGTGAAAGAAAGAAGTTGGCAGCATGAGCTTTTGTAGACTACAGTCTACAGCCTGAAATGCTGAAGAAGTAGACTGAAGCTTAGGAAAGCGCATGCTGCCAACTTCTTTGTTTCAGTGAGCCTCAAAGGTGCTGCAAGATCTTTCTAAATAATAATAATAATAATAGTACCAAATGCATTTGGAGGAAGTAGACTTGAGTCTAGGAAAGCTCATGCTACCACTTCTTTGTTTCAGTCAGTCTCAAACTTTATGCATTATTTTTCAAAAGACCTCTCAAAAGCCAAAGCTTGCTTCATAGGTTCTTTGAGAGGTGGTAGCAAGTAAGGAGCTCCACTGATAAATGGAGATGGGGTACCCCATATGGGTTCATTGTAAGTTAAAGCAGCATATTGAACTGTGACCCTTATAGAATCCTGGTCATACTATAAAATTGATTTTGTTTTTCCTGGAAGGAGGAATGTTTTCCTCATTTTTCACATTTCACATCTCTTTGTGATAAATCTCCCGGTGTTGTAGTTAACAGAGGAAGTTTCACCTCCTTGGCAGTACTGCATAATAAAATATCTCATATGCTGGCTAGGAACTGTTGGTGAGCATTTATATTTGCGATTTGTGTTTAGTTAATTTATTGCCTTGAGTGTGCAGTATAGAAAGACAGAATATAAATGATTGTAATAAGCATTCTAGTTTGATTTGCTTTTCAAGAAGCATCTTCATGGTTTCCTTTTCCCTCCCACAGGGTCACTTAAAAACCAAGTACAGACCAAGATATTTCAACAGAGAAGGGTAAAAAAAAACTTTGTTCAGATACAGCTAAAAATGTAGTCATTTTCCATAAGTACAGCATTTTTTTATATTAAAACAGGTTGGTTCTCCCATATCTAAAATGCTTCGGACAAGAAGAGTTTTGGATTTTGGAATACATAATGAGATATCTTGGAAATGGTACCCAGCTCCAGACACAAAATTCATTTATGTTTCATATGCACTTTATACACGTAGCCTGAAGATAATTTTATACACAATGTTTTAACTAATTTTGTTCATGAAACAAAGTTGGTGTACATTAAATCATCAGAAAGCAGAGATGTCACCATGTCAGCCACCCATGTGGACATTTTTGGATTTGGGAGTATTTTGGATTTCAGAATTCCTAATAAGGGATAAGTAGTTCACAGTGGTTAGAATCCAAATAATTGTGCATCTGGATTTGTACTCTAAAGAAGTTTGATACTTTGGGGCTTGTGTTTCTTCAGTACAAGCTCCATAATAGATACCAAACTACTTTTTAAACCAGGAGGACTGTTTATAAAACAGCTTGTGATATAGCATCCTGTAATTAGGATGGTAAAGTAAAAATTCCATTGTCCATACTTAAATTTAGCTCTTTTGATCCCATTCATCATTCTGCATGCATTGTGTTGTATATAATATTATTAACAGTCAGAAATCTATATTTTTCTTCAAAGAGATGTAATATAGAGAGTTAATTCTTGATGGTTTGCTCATCTGAATTGAAAATGGTTTGCTTAAACCAGGGGTAGGCAACCTTTTTGAGCCGGGGGCCGGGTTGCTGTCTCTCAGACAATTGGGAGGCCAAAGCACCAATAAATAAATAAATAAATAAATATGCATGAACACTCTCTCAGCCCCAGAAAAGCCATGACAAAACCCCTGTGGAGATTTTGCTAAGAAAACCCCAAGAGCAAGTAATAACAACAATAATCATTATCATCATGGTGGGAGGGGGAGCTGGTCCAAAGGCCTCAGGGGGCCGCATTCGACCCCCGGGCCTTAGGTTGCCTACCCCTGGCTTAAACTGATGACTTGCTGAGCTTGCTTTGATGAGTGCATGAAAGAGCTCTTTTACACAATTTCCCCATTTATTTGCACACAGGGAGCAGCCACATAGTTAATTTTTTGTGGCTATGATACAATGCCCCTAGTTGGGATGAATTAATAAATAACTGTAGATACAGTCTACTTGTATTCATTGCAGTGCACATGGGATTCTAGATGACTCAGATTGTTCCTTTTCTCATATGAACTGTTATAGTAATGTGTTTTTTCCACTGCTATTTTGTCTGTTTCAGTACAAAAATCATGGTCTCCATCTCTGCCCAGAAATGTATGATTAGCATTGTTTACTTCTTATAATTGTTGAACATTTATAATTGCAACTGTGCACCTGCCACTTTCTGTTGTACCTTACCCATAATTTTAAAGGAATAAAGATAGGGGAAAACTTTCAGATGATATTTTAAAGTGGTTACCTCTACATTAATTGATAGCAAGATTGTGAGATACCCAGGTTTTAAGTTATGCTATCAGACTAAATGAAGTTGATGAATGTTTACAACAAGTAGATTGATATACGGTAGTGACACATTCTGGCAAACTAATGGTCAGGAACAGGTTAACAAACTGTCATGTAGGTGCATGCATTTTTATGAGGAATCAGCAACATGTATAAAGTTCATTGGCTGGTGCCCTGCTTCAACTACCACCTCTGTTTGAGGTGAGGGTTTTGTTAAAATGAGAGGGGTTGGGGGCCATGGTACTGCAGTTGTGAAATGTTCTCTCTGAATTGTTTTGATTTACCAACTTTGCAGTGTTGTAATTTATTTTTTTCATTAAAAAACATCTTGTTTGTCTTAAACTTTTGACATTTGCTCCTCATCCGCACTGCAAAAATTATCCTGTTTGACACTGCTTTAACTGTCTTGGCTCACTGCTATGGAATTCAGTGAGTCAGGACAGTTAAAGTGATGTCAAACCAGATTATTTCTGCAGTGTGGATGCAGCCTTAACTATTTTATATCTGCTGCTTTTATACTTGGATTTTTACTTTGGTGGAAATGTGTCTAGAAACCTTCAGAAGCAGAATAATATAACAGTAAAAAATAAAACTGAAAGTTATGGGGGAAGATCTGTTACAAATGCATTTTCTGATTGCATGAGAGTCAGCAAGGGGTTGTATAAAAACTATTTCTTTTTTTTTTTTAAATAAGTTTTATTGATTAAAAACAAAATATCATTAATTCCATACATACAATGTCCAAATGTGTATACATAAAGTAAAAAAGAATAAACAAAAACAAAAGAATAAAGAAAAAGATTAAAACAGAAAACAACAGAGAAAAAACAAAAGATAAGCAAGAAAAAAGAAAAAAATAATTAATCCTATAACATGTCCATTTCTACATATCTCAGTATTTATACATATGTAAATAAATATAGATAGACAAATCACATAAATTAATACATTTAAAAAGACTTCCTGTGTCTAATACCTCTTGCCCATTCGCCAGCTTTTTTAGGCCTCTACAAGCATTCCTACTGAGGATTTCTATGCGGACAATCAGTATAATGGTCAAACCTTTATACGTTTATCTATTAACCCAGTGGCTTCTTATTACAAAATAGAGAAAGAAAAAAAAATAAAGCGCACAATCAAGATTAAGAAAGAAAACTCAAGCCTACTGGTAGCGTATCCTATGCTAACACTTATTAATAATAATTAATACTATATTAATAAATCGTAAATGTATTAACAAGATAAACCCATACTAAGAACATAATTAAATCTTACTTCTATATTTTTAATCTGATACCCCGCAGAGCTAAATTATAAATCCATGGGTGCCAGTCTTTTTTAAATCCTTCATAATCCATTCCTCTAATCAGGCCCATCAGTCTGTCCATTTCCATAAATTCAAGAATTTTCAAGTACCATTCACGTAATAATGGGGTCTCTTTCTTTTCCCAATTTGCTGCGTATAGCATTCTAGCAGCGGAGAGAGAATAAGAGATCAGTTTCCCAAATTTTCCCTTTAAATGTTCATCTGAATTTATCCCTAACAAAAATAATTGTGGGTCTAATTTAATATTGTAATTTAAGACCTCA